AAAAAATCTACTCCTAGGCAAAAAGTAGAAGTGGAGTGGAATGGAGCATGACCCCTGGCACCACAATGGCTGGGAGGTAAAGAGGAAGGTAACTAAATTCATAGATTACTTGAAGAGTCTTTGCAAGTTGCAGCAATAAATCATTTAAGCATTGTAAATTGCAGCAAACTGCTGCCCTTTAAGCTGAGCTGGAGATTTGCACTCAGCTCCTTCCTCTTGCCTAGAGCTGAGCCCATGAAACTTGGAAGATGATCACACACTTAAATAAACTGGTTTACTGAGCCGAATTAAAAATAAATGCAGGTGGCGTCCAGACCATATCTCAAGGGTTTTGCCACCGAAATCAACACCCGGGACCATCCCAGGTCCATCCCCACTCCTGAAGCCACTCCAGCAGCCATTCTCTCAAGCCGGACAGCTTTGAAAAGAGCCATGCTGAGAAGCTCTAAGAGCAGAGATGGCCCCAGGACGGTCCCAGAAGGTGATTTCAGCAGCAAAACCCTCACAATAGGGTCCGGATGCTGCCCGCATTTATTTTTAAGCCAGATCAGATAAACCAGTTTATTTAAGTGTGCAATAAGCTCCTTAGAAAATATAAACCCTCATCTCCTGCCTGGTGATGACCAATGTAAATTGGAGATTCAGGGCCAAGCCCTAGCATCTGGCAACCCTAACCAGTAGGCAGTACATGAGTCAAACAAAACTAGACTGCAGTGGCTTAAAGACCAAGGGCAACAGAGAGCTTAGGCTTGTGCACGACCCTAATCACATGTTGCCATCTCTGAGGAGAAATATTGAGATAGATAGATAGATAGATAGATAGATAGATAGATAGATAGATAGATAGATAGATAGATAGATAGATAGATAAGACTGATCAATCTCCTCTCCTCTCAGGCTGCACAGACATGGTAACAGTTGATTAAAATGAAATCCCACACATATGGGCATCTACAGTGACTCCCATTTTCCTACTCAGTCCTTGTTCCTCCTTCTTGGGTTTGAGGGACCTCTTATGACAATATCTCTTTAGTGCAACAATGTGTAACATGAAATGTTTTTGGGGTTATTTAAGAATAGAAATGGAAGAGAACAGTGGGAAACTGTCACACTTCACATATTTTTTAGCTTACAACTTCCATCAGCCCTAGCCAGCATGGCTAATAGTGAGGGACTGTCTAAGGTACAACTAAAAATACATGAAAGGGAGACTTCTCCTTTATAGGAAGGGTCAGAATGTCTCAGTCTTAACTCAGGTGCCTTGCAACATCCTCTGGCTTGCAAACTACTACAAACATGTTTGGCTTTGAAACAATCACCTCGGCCGTAATGGCAGCTTTTCTGATGTTATCTGGGAAGCCGTAAGAAAGAAGCAGATATGAAAAGGGATAGCCCTTAACCTGTCATCTGCACTCTTATTAGAAATCAATAAAGGATGAGCTGTTTTTACTTGATGGATATAAAGCAAGCAGAACGACTTTGGGAAAAAGTCGTAATGTGCCAAGTTGTTTCTGAAGATAAATGTACAGTGATAAAGAAATGAATTTATTCCAGATCACAAAATCTAATCAAGAATATCTCTTCAGTATAAAACATGTATCATATATAAAATCACTGTGTCTCAATAAAAGTATGTCAACACTAAATCAATTTAGGGCTTGGGAGGGGCACCTTGTACGACCTTTATACACAGCACATTGACTTGGCCCCACTTTGCACTGCAGATATAATGTGGTTTGGCACCACTTTGCCATGACTCAATTCTATGGAATTTGGGGATTTGTGGTTCTGTGAGATATTTACCCTTCTCTGTCAGAGAGTCTTGGTACCACAACAAACTACAAATCCTAGGATCCCGTAGTGTTGAGCCATGGCAGTTAAAGTGGTGGCAAACTGCATTATTTCTGCAGTGCAGAAGCAGCCTTGAATGTTGTGGAGGAAAAGAAGGATATAATTGCAACACAATCAATATGACAGTTTTGTTCAGGATGCTTGCATACAGGATATGTTAGACTGTGGTCTTTCAAGACTGGAGGAGTTTTCAGCCCTGAGGATTTGCTTACAGAGGACTTAAGGACATGTATATTCTCTTCATTTCTTGCATTTCTATAAATAGGTTCTTGTGAAGTTTAAATGAGAAATAGTTGTTTGAAGAAGACAGGTTCACATCTACTAGCATGATCCATAAAGTTTAGCCATCCCACCTTTAGTTGATGGAGAGGAGCTTATCAAACTGAAATGTTTGATGAAAACCACACATATCTCCAAAGTGAGTTAGGATATGTTTGCTACCTAATTAGGAGCAGAGGCCTTAATGTTTTCCTTTACTTTTTAAAAGAGACTCTTACCCATTTTCAATTCTGAGTGTTTTGACTTCTGTTTAAGAAACTTTTGATTTAGGAAAATCCCTGACACACCGAACAAGCCACCTCATTAAAAAAAAAAAAGCTGCTCAGACTAGCTTTCCAAGGTGAATGTTATATAATACCCAGAAGCCTTTGATTATCTTGGTGTCTGTGTGAGCCGCCTTCACTCAGTCTCAGAACAGTCTTGTGTTAAGTTTCTTCCCCCTGTTCTGTCACATATTCATACACATGTTTCACCTCAAGAGTTCTCATTAGTCTGGAAATGAAGTGAAAAGTAAGGAGAGCAGGACAGCTTCTTTGGTTCTTTTTGCCCAGTTTACTGGGACTCTAATTCTACACTTCAGCTAACTGGGCCTACCCATTGTTCCAGTTATTTTTCTATGTCTAGATCTCACCTTATAAAAGCCTATCTGCACAGTGCACTACTTGCACTCATACTGCCTTGCAAGCTCAGCAATTTGTTTTTAGTTGTATTCATTTGTAATCTGCTTCCTCTGTTAGACTGCTTCTAGCTTGGGTACATCAAGTGTTATGTTTGACCTTCATGGAGAAAAGTGGAGAGTTTTCCTTGTGCCTGATTATTTTTGACACCACAAGAAAACTTCTGGCATGTAGTTTCAGCATACCATGATGACTGCTACTGCAATCCTATTTATAGTTATTTTCTTTTATGGTAAAGACCTTGACTCTTTCAGTCCTTGGACTTGTCAGCTTCTCAGTCAGTTTAGGTTCCATGTTGCTAAGAAATCTCTGCATCTCATGCAACTTTTGGCATGTCTTTCCCTTCCCCAACCTCCAGTGGAGGCAGGTAGAGAGGCAAGAAGGAATATTATGAAGCTGAGCAACAGCCAAAAGTGATTAGGATACAGCTCTGAAAGAAACAGGAGTTCACCTGGGAGAGGGAACCAGGCAAATTGCCAGTCCTCTTTGTGTTACAAA